TCTCTGAAGGGTACTTCTAAAGGTTACTTGTATGAGCAAACAAAGTTGGCAAAAATATAAATGTCAAATGACAGAAAAACTACCAAGTAAAGTTGATGAACACCAATGATAAAAAAAAAAGATCAGTACATAATAGAACATTATGCAAGCTATCAATATTTACGAGACATGGGAAAATTCTCTCAATACAACAGAAATTAGGAAAAATGGCAGGAAATTAAACTATCCTTGTTGGATGATTCCCCATTGGAAACAAGACCAGCCAACATTTGTGTGGAGCTATGCTTCACAGAAGTCCTGAAGTTAATATGCCAAAATGCCACTACTATTCATCTTCAAGATTTCAAATTACAGTTATCCCTGGGGCACTGGTTCCAGGAGAACCCGCAGATCCCCAAATCCACGGATGCTCAAGTCCCTTATATAAAATGGTGTAGCATTTACAAATAACCTACACACATCCTCTGCTATAGTTTAAATCGTCTCTAAATCACTTACAATACCTAATACAATGTAAATGCTACATAAATAGTCATTACTGTATTGTTTAGGTAATAATGACAAGAACAAAAAGTCTGTCTATATTCAGTATATTTTTTTTTATATTTTCTATCCATATTAGGTTGAATCTACAGAAGAGGAACCCACAGATATGGAGAGCTGACTGTACATATCTGCTACTATTAAACATATGTTCTGCATTACTTTATAAGCCAAGAGCAACTAGTAATATTATCAGAAAAAAATTGTTTTGAGGACCTTAAAATGTACGACAAAAAAAAAGTTTATGAAAATAATTTTCTAAATTTAGAAGACAGATCTCACACTTTTAATAAAAAGAAGAGAGAGATGACAAAGACATAATTAAGAAAGCATCTCTGCAGGAGGTTGCACGTATCAGGGGTATTGGAAAGATACCAAACATGCCAAGCAACTAAATCAAACAGAAATAATAAACCCAGGGGGTAAGAAACATTCCAAAGTCTCTAAGAAATTTAGAAAAGGAAAGGGAAAAAAAAAAAAAAGCTAATGATGCCAATGCAATATGTTCCCTTTATTACTTACTTCCCCTTTCCCTGATCAGGTAAGAATCTCTCTTGGGAACTTGTCAAGACACGGTTTTATGCTAAATCTACCTACGTTAATTTTTTTTTTTTTTTTTTTTTTTGCAGGGGAGGAACATAACTTAGAAAATCAACAGCTCTCATTATTTAGCGTAAAGAAACAATGGCTTGTAAGGACAACACAGTGAAACAGTACACAGTCTTTATCCTTGGCACTTCATGGTAAGTTGATTCTGCTAAGTGCCTCATTATGTCTTTCTTGATGGGATGAATCGAATGCTCTCCACAGACTGGCTGGCCTCTGTATTAACAGCAACACTGACTTAATAAGGATGACCAAAGAGGTGGCAGAATGATTTCAGCATTCGCGCCGACTGAAAGACTCTTTCCCAAGATGAAATATTAACCACACGTTAAATCGCAAATGAAAAAGCAGCTTCTAGCCAGATACTTTCCACGCAAAGTGTGAACAAAATGTTCTCTGAAACCATTGGAAAAGATAGTCACGGCCACAAATGCTGGAAACTGGAATGAGTAAATATTCCAAAAAACTTTTAAGAAAAGCTAATACTCCTTTTCCCCATCTATGTTTCACCTCCAAATAAGAGTACAAAAAATTTTAAGAAATCCAGAAGTCCACACATAGAACCCTTGGTCTCCCCAAGCTCTCAGCCAGTTTTGTATCGTTAAGGTCTGTCCACATTGTCCTCTAAACTTAACAGTGCAGTGAGATATTAGCACGATCTCAACTTGGAAGACTCCATCTCTCATCTACGGTTTTGAACCACAGAGAGTTCAACATGGTAGTGTTCTAACATATCAAAATGGAACATTCCTGCTCAGAAATAAGAGGTTGTAATTGATTGGTAACATTATTTTTAAACTATTTGTTTTGCTTATTTAACTTGAAACAATATAAGCCTACTACTACGGAAGTGAGTTATTCAAGAATGTTATTGTAACCATTAGAGATCAATGAATCAGACTGAATGCTGATCTAATTTATTTCCATGATTTTATACAGAAAACCTAAACCACTACACACTAATAAGAATTTATAACATCTTAAAATTGCCCAGCACAGGGAAGCTCTCATGGATTCAACAGAAATAAGGAAATGTAATGCTTCGTATCTGATCAGCAAGTATGCTTTCCTCCTTTCTGAATACTGAAAAGAGAAGTCTTTTTGTAGCTAAAAATAAGATACCAATTAATCATATATATAAACTCTCAGACTAAAATGCAAACAGCATAAAATTTAGACAGCAAGATTAGTAAGTTAGTATTTGAAAAGCAAAGCCAAAGAAAATTCAAAAGACTAATTCATTACACATTACCATTTACAAGTATTCTATCCGAATACGATGTCAGCTACAAACATATATGTAGATCAAGGCCTTTCCTACAGGAAAGTGTGGGCATTTGGATACATTAAATACTACTCCATATAGGAGAAAAGCTTTCTGAATATGTACTCCCTTTTATTTTTTTTAAGACAAATAACATTATATTCAAGGATATCTCACAACACTGATATTTATAATATTAAAAGAAATGGTAACAGTATAAATACCCAATAATAAGAGAAGGATAGAGTATACCCTAAAAGGGAATATTTCACATTAAAAATATTTTCTAATAAAATCCATACCAGGGGAAATCCCTATGAGAAAAATATAACAAAAATAATCAGCATCCAAGTAGGTGAACACGGCATGACTTCAACCCGTGTGTGTGCGTGTATATGTGTGTCTATGTATTCACTAATCTTTTAATACTTGCTGTTGCTGGGTTTTGGAGTTACAGGTCATTTTATTTTGTTCTATTCTACTATTAATAGTTTCCCAAATTTTCTACAATGACAGATGCATATTATTTAAAGCAAAGTCAGTGAGGAGGATGTGGTTAACGGGCATGAGCATCTCAGCTCTCTGCTAGCACAGCTTCCTACGCCGAGGAGACTGGCAGGCTAACGCTCTATTTCCCAGACTCTTCTGCAGGTAAGAGTCTGGACATAGATTGGATCCACCTATTCCGATTCCACAAGGGAGATTTTAATGGTGGTTATGACACAGGGAACTTTCCTGGGCTACTGTTACCGGCAGCATTTCCGAGTTCCAGCTCCAGTTTCACAGGCGACAAGAGGTAAAGTGAGCACACCTGGAGACAGGTGCTAGTAGCTTGTGGGCAGGCTCAGGTGGAAGGAGTCCAGGTCCTTCGACTGCAGTCCTGCCTTCTTCACCTTGGCAGACGGTTTAGCTCCCGGGCAGGCCAGAAGTGCATCACTGCAGAGTTTTAAAGGTTCTCCAGGCCCAGCCTCGGGCCTGCTCTGCAACCCCTCCAGTGATTTTGTGAAAACAAATTCTAAGTATTAAGTCCTTCTATGTTTACAACACATTTTATCTTTAAAAACAGGTTCTGTTTGCTGCAACTGAAAGTGACTCACATACTCAAGATGTTGAATGACTTAAAAACACAACACTGATTGCCCTAATGACTTCTGACCTGTATCCTTCAACTTGCTGAAAACCTAGCTGAAATAAACTTTTTAAACTACCAACTTAACCTGTTTATACATTCCAAATAGAATATTCATGTAAATTAAATTAGATCTATTTGGAACAAAAATTAAATGTCACGAGTCCTATTCACACATAGGATTCTGCTTCTTTGGGTGTCTACTGCATGATAATGTCCTCAAATATTAATATCTCAAGCTAATTTTAATGAGCAGATACTCCAACATGGTCCTTCATCAAACCTGTAACAATGAAGTACTTTAGGAGAGTGAGCCTAATGGTTAAATCTATAATGTAAAAATTCAGAAACTAAACATACTACTCTATTTTTTTCCTAGTAGATTCTTCTCAGTTTAAACTTACATATTCCATGTACTTTTTTTGTTTACGTGAACTAGTACAAAGAAGAGTTGTTTTGTTGAAATACAAAGTTAAGAGAAATATTTAAAATAAGAATTTTTATGCAGATACAAAGGATAAATTTACCAAATATCAAGCTACATCCATTTTAATATTATGTGATGAGTATTATTTCCATATTTCTCAATATTTACTGTGCTAAATTACTGGCTGCATTGAAAAAATGTTAATTCATTCAACAGGTGTTTATTGAGCACCTACTTTACAGATTCAGCAGTGAAAATTACAAACACAGCTTACAGCTCATGGGTAACAGGGTAGAGGTATGACCAAATGGAGCAGTAAGGGTTCTGTAGAAATATATGTCAAAGAGCATTAACAAATTTTTTTAAATAGACTACATAGACTACAATAAAGTTTATTTATTTAGCTAAATAAATAAAGTCAAGGACTAAAATAAATTAGAACCAAGGAAGAAAATAATATTAAGATTAGACGGCACTCTTTCATCTTGTAGGGAGACTTAAAGGGAATAAACTTATCAATATCCTAGGGCAGAATGAATTATCGTGAAGTCCACTCTCACCCTTAAAAGCCCACAACGCTACAAGTTCTTTAACGTGCCTCCTGAGCCAGTACGAACACTTGCTTACACACATGTAAACTATCCCTGTAAGGACATACAAAAAGAAAACAGAGGGGTTGCCTATGAAGACAAACAGGGTGCCCAGGAGACAAAGTAGGAAAGGGACTTCATATGATACACACTTTATGTTACAAGTTTCTAATTTTAATCATAGGAATAGATTATACGTTCAAAAAATGAATGCATTCGTAAATATACACCAGGCAGGGCACTGAATTTTATCAGAAAATTCGAGTGTGTTATAAATAGGAGGTTCTCTGCACTTACACGTGAACGTCAATAATACACACACAAAAGGCCACAACGAAGATGCCCTAGAAGCAAACGGTCTACCTAACAAGGGACACTCGTCATCGCTACCGAGACGACAGGAGGCACAGTGGGTGGCAGCAAACAAGGAGAGGTGGTTACCTTCCTGTCGCAGGGTTTCGGGCTCCCAGCAGGGTTCTGCTTGAGGAAGCCGGCTGTTGTGGACCAGCGCGTGGGGTTTTTCCTCGAAGGCTCTTCAGAGGAAAAATTATTATCGCTGACAGAAGTGGAGAGTCCAATTAAAGCTGGGTCACTGCTTCGTCGGACATGAAGAGGCATATCTGTAAATATAACAAAGCCCTGGTTAAAAATAAGATACGTCTGAAAGGACAGGTTAGGATAATGCTGTGAAACGCCAAAGATTAAAGAAGAGAATGACACGTTTTAAAAAAAGACAATGGGTGAGCATTCTAAATAGAAATTCCATTTGTTCCTTTAAAATGGTTTCTGGTGAAAGAGACCAGGTGAAGTGTAGCTCCCAGCTAGACTGCCCAGGCTCCTGTTTGGGCCTCACAGCTTGTTACCTGTGCGGCTCTGGCCAAGTTGCCTAACCGTTCTCTTAGCCTCTGGATCCTTCCAACTCACGTGACAATAAAATAGTACTTCTTTCGTCAGGGTAATGTGAGGATATAAAGTGCTTTAAACAGTGCCTGACACATAGTATATACTCAGTAGAGAGTAACAATAACAACTATTACTGCTAATATTTAATACTTTCCCACTGTTTCCAAATAAGTTACCATATATTTCATCAGAAATAAATCTAAGCAACTAAAACAAATTTCATCTAACCTTTAATCATATTTGCTAGATTAAAAATACAGAATCTATAGAGTTAATAATTTATTGTATATTTTCAAAATAGCTAGAACATTTGAAATGCTTCCAGCAGAAAGAAATGATAAATGTTTGAGGTGATGGATATCCTAATTACCCTCATTTCATCATTACACATCGTATACATGCATCAAAATATCACATGCACCCATAAATATGTACAATTATGTACCAATAAAAAAAATCTCTTCGACACATGCCAAAAAAACCACAGAGTCTAGACAACGTTTGGGTAGTCTATTAAAAAATTTTGTTGAATAAAATGTTTCTTCTGGCTGGGCGTGGTGGCTCATGCCTGTAATCCTAGCACTCTGGGAGGCCGAGGCGGGAGGATTGTTTGAGCTCAGGAGTTCGAGACCAGCCTGAGCAAGAGCGAGACCCGTCTCTACCAAAAATAGAAAGAAATTAATTGGACAGCTAAAAATATATAGAAAAAATTAGCCGGGCATGGTGGCGCATGCCTGTAGTCCCAGCTACCCGGGAGGCTGAGGCAGGAGGATCGCTTGAACCCAGGAGTTTGAGGTTGCTGTGAGCTAGGCCGATGCCACGGCACTCTAGCCTGGGCAACAGAGTGACACTCTGTCCCAAAAAAAAAAAAAAAAATGTTTCTTCTGCTCAATAAAGTATTATCAGAAAATGTAGAGCCCAATCATATGTCTCATCCTCAAGACAGAGAAAATCATCAAAGTATTATGTTAATATGCAGGTAGTTTCTGCCATATACTCACATATACAATTACATGAAAGGCAGCATTTTAGCAACTGCATTCACATAGAACAAAAGTTTGCTTGCAATTGCTACAACAAAATCAATAAGAAACTCAGGCAAACATTTGTATCAGCAGCACTGAGAACATCCTGGCAGATCCGATCATTGTTACAGCAGAGAAGAAACAGAACTACAAGAAGCAGAGAGATGAAGAGTATATCGAGTCTCCAACAGTTAGAACCAAAAGTCCCACACACCAACTGAGTGAAATCACTCGAAAACATAATAAACACTGTGATATAAAATTTAGGTTAAATTATATTTAGAGTAATCTGTTTTAAAAAACTAGGTTGGAAGTTAAATATTTATTTAAAAGCCTCTAACAAAACAGTTTTAACCATGAAGCAGTAAACTTATTTATTCTATGGAAAACTTTTTTTTTTTTCTCTCTCTTAAGAGACAGGGTCTCACTCTGTCACATAGGCTGCAATGCAGGGACATTATTATAGCTCACTGTAGTCTCGAACTCCTAGGCTCGAGCAATCCTCTCACCTTAGCCTCCGAAGTAGCTATAGTGGACAACAGGTGCACACCATCATTCCTGGCTAATTTATTTATTTATTTTTTGGTAGGGAGAGGGTCTCACTATGTCCCCTCACTAGGGATGGGTCTCTATACATTGCCCAGAACAGCCTCTCATTCAAAAATGAGAAACATTTCTGAAACACTGATGCATTGGCCAGTGGTGTGGATACATAGATCCTTGAGGCTACTAAAGACAGGCTATTTATATACATTGAAGGCCACATTTAAACCGCTGTCAATCCAATAGTCTCCAAGATGGAAAAGCAAATTAAAAATAACCAGAGAAAACAGAAGCATATGAATCATAGCAATATTGCATTTAACATTTGCTTCTACATCATGAAAATTTGATAACAATAACACAGTCTGAGCAACACTACCGGAGGAAAAAAATATGTCCAACATTTAATTTAATATTGTTGGTGGTTATCTTAATTTGCTGGGAGAAACACATACATGAAAATTATAGAGAATACTTCCTGGTTTTTAATGTGTGCAAATACCTGTGACAGCCCTTGCTGCTTATAATTTGCACCCAAAAAATAAACACCAGTAAGAACTAAACAGTCACTCTCAAAACAAGTGCACAAAAATACACACCTAAGAATCTACGTGTGTTAATTACAACACCCTTACTATAAGCAAAGTTCTCTACCAAGAGGAGATTATTCCAAGAATCATCAAATAAAAAATGTAAGCAGAAAAGTAACAAAATGGGAAGGAGAAGAGGAGGCTAAAATCATTCTAGACAAATACGACACTGTTACTTAGATACGGGTTCTGTTGCTTTTCAATTACGGGGTGTTAATTATTCACTTGTTAAGCAACTCTGTATACCTTGATCTCTCAATACCTGTGTGTGTGTGTGTGTGTGTGTGTGTGTGTGTGTGTGTGTGTGTAAGTCTAAAAGAAATGCTATTAGTTCACAAGAAAAGATCTTTAACACATTGATTGCCACCCTAGAAAAAAAATGTTTTCCTTGGGGCCATATTGTGTTATTACAAAAACAGAATAAAAACTTTGAAACAAAATGATCCTTTCTAAAGTAATGATTTATTTTTTGTTGTGTTGTGTGAGTTATATGCAATTGTCAATATTAATTGTAATAATATCAACAAGATTTTCATGAACTAACTGCAAGGTTTTGCCCAGGAGACCACCCATCACGTAACACGTATGCTACATCATGGCAGCATGAGGGGCCAGCACGCCATGCGGCTCCCAGGGTAAAGAGACGTGTGAGTTACATATGCTTCACAAGGCCCTGGGCCCAAAACTAGCATGAGTTAAATCCAATTCACATGGCAGTTAATGTGTCTTTTAAAAAAAAAAAACAAAAAACAGTAGAGACTTATGTACCAAAACAGTATTCACTCTCTATAATAAAAGATCCACATAAAAGTATATTTCAACCTCAAAATAAATCCAAGGACTCTATAATTTCACTGAATTGGCTAGGCCACAATAAAACAGCTTACTCTGCTTGTGTTTGAAAATATCCTCAGGAGGCTACACTGCATACATGATTTTGATTAAATAATTAGGATTCCCTCCTTCTGACTAGCCACAAACACTGCGTTAATCTGTTAGTCTGCAACAGACAAAAATAATTAGCATTTTTATCTGTATATATTAGCATCTATGTATCTGTAACTCTCTAAATAAAAGGTGCACGCGGGAAAGGGAGGGGATTAGAGACGAGGTAGGTTGCAGAGGGGACGGCAGGTGCCGTGGTTAGTCTCTTCCAGGTGGGTGGCGGGGGCAGTCACAAGGACGCTCCATCATGCGGCCCTTCCCGTGAGTTCTTCCCACATTAAACTTTTTGTTTTCATTGCAGTGACATCGCTGAAAGACATTAATATAAATACAGTCTGGATCTTTCATTTGTGCTACCTTGTAGCTGAGTACTGCCATGCAATTTCAGGACAGTGTCCTAGATTACCAGGCTGATGAGAAAAGAACAGAACCCACTCGAACAAGTAGTGTGTTCTCACTAAGGGGATGCCAAACGACACCCTTATGATGTCAAAATCAAGGTTTTCTTACAGTTGCAAGTGCAGTAGGAACTGAGTCATCATGGCACACACAAGCAGCCTCACCAGCTCCAAAGGAAGATACCCCTGCAACCACTGGGCGGGTCTGTCTTCACGCTGCCTAAGATTCAGACTTAGCAAGACGTCATCATCTCTCACAATGATGGTGTGCCCATTTGGACTTGTATCGGTTTATAATTGTCTTCTTGGTTTTGTGACTGCATGAAACTTACAAGGCATTTTAAGGCAGTTTACACACACATACACACACGCATGTGCGTGCACACAAATTTAGTAACACTGTATTAGAACCAATGACTTAACACAGAAAGATCTTAATCCTTTAATTTAAATGAGTCACTCGGTACATTAGTTATGTGCAAAAACATATGACCCACGACACAAATGAGTAAGTTGAGGCTAAAAGAGATGACATGAAGAGCACAGGGTCACAGAACTTTCCAGCCAACACTTTAGGTTCCCGATCCAGTGCTCAATCACAAATCATGAAATAAGTTCTATTATTCAGCAATGTATTGAAAAACAAGTTCCATTTCTAGCTACCTGTGGATATAAATGTTAGTCTCAGTTTCGTAAACGCGAAGAATGTTGCTGTTTTCAAAGGAGAATTATGCACTGAGAAACCATATGCTGATTTTAACTGACCACATCATTTCATTTTGGGGTGAGGAAGAAACATGACGTTAACCATACACATACACTGTAACAACAGGCTTCCAAATTTCAGAAATGTTAACATAGGAAAAGGAAACCAAAAAAAAACCTATTGGTTAAACAGAGGAAGTACAGTGGGTAAGACGATAAAGTATGCTTGAAAGGAAACAGGCCTACATCAGTGGTCCCAAACTTTCACCACGGGACCTGTTCATACTCTAAAAATTAAGCACCTCGAAGAGTTTTTGTTTATGTGAATTATGGCTTAGTGATATTGACCATTTGAGAAGTGAAAATGAGAAAATTTTAAAAATATTCAGTTAATTTATTTTAAAGTAACAATGATAAACCCATCCCATGTTAACACAAATAACATAATTTTACGAAAACTCTATTTTACTAAACACAGCATGTTTAGTGGGAAGAGCTACAGCATTTGACG